CTGAACAGGTAATGTCATAGAGCAACATAAGATGTAAAACCTTCCAAAGCCCTATAAAATCAATGAAGTTGCTTAGCTTTCAACATCTCCTCAGCAGCTAATCCTTGTTTGGGTCTTTGCATTTGTAGAGCTTGAGGAGTTAGTATTCCGATTTACGCCTTCCATATAGGCTACTCTGGGAATTGTCTGAAACACTGCTAAAATGCCACATGATGCCTTACTTCCCCAAGATCACTTTGCATAACAAGAACTGGGTCCACTTTCACTAATACTACGTTTAACATTGTCCATTGTCTAAGGCATTTACACCACGTTTCGGGGCTTGGCTATTTCCATCTTCAGGTCAGTAGTTACCACTGAACAAACCGATAAAGCTTTGTTTTATGTTTTCAACCGGATCAGATAAAAAAGACACGCACGCACATAGGGTTTCTAATATATATTACTTTAAAATCCAGCAGAAATTTTATTTAAAACTTTGTATGCCAGTTTGTCATTAAAGTTTACTCAACAAGTTGACGAAGGTGTCACAGCCTTTGTTTTAAAAGTAAAAACTTTTTTAAAACAATTTTTGTCTCTCATCAATTTATATGGAAAGTATCCTAACAATGAACTTTTTGTAACTAAGGTAATAAAAAAGTAACTTTTTTCTGTTCTCAGATGCTATGGAAATATCACATTACGCTCGAGAAGAGAAGTGTGAAGTGGAAAGACAGATCACAAAAACTACGACATCCCATTGCACCTCCGTAGTAATAATTTAAGTAGAAGTCAAAGGAGTGCGAGGGCTTGAAACAATTTTGCTCAAATGCTGCGGTCTCTCGTCTAAAACGGTAAAAGCGTGTTCACTTCCTGCACGAAATACGGGCATAGCTCTTCGCAAGTCTAGAGAAATGTATCGATTCTTTATAAAATTTGCGAGTAGCAGACGAAATCACAAAAGTTCCATTACAACAAGTTCTGTGTTGACAAAAATATTTTACTCTAACAATTATAATCTATAGCTATTGTAAATAATAAAACTCAGACTGATTTTAAGAAATATTTAGATTAGTTACACACGGATTTTGGTGTGATACAAAAATTCTAATATTTCCCTTGAAGGGCTGAGGAAAAACACTAAATGTCTCAGATCAGCCGGGACCTCTTGAAAACGAATCAGGAGTGTTAACCACTCAAACGCGACGTTCGTTGTCTTCATGTTACTATCTGCTAACCAGCTACGATAACATCCAGTTCGGAAGGAGAACAACTGAGCTCTTGAGAGACTTTTTTCGTATTGAGAGGGAGACGAGATGCTTATCGATCACAGCACACATAAATTACGGATCGGCTACGTGATTGATATCTTCCTACTCCAGCACGGCTTTTTGAACTAGTTCGCACACTTTCAAAGCCCAGGGTTATCTGTGTGCACTATCTACTTTAACAACAACTCCGAATTTTGTACTTGTGATTTTCGTAAATGGGGATTACTTCCTTAAACCGCATTAAACAACTAGAATTTTAACGGTAAATTTTTGTGTTTTCTTCGCGGTACGAATTGAATGCCGGGCGGCTCGCTTGAAGTCAGTATGCGACCGGAAGGCCAACTTGAACAAGATTTACCATGATTTTATTCGGTACTAGCGAAAATGTTTAGTTGGTACCCAAATTTAACGTCTCATGCAGCCCTCTTAATATGAATATCACAATTCCCAAAAGAACCCGACCATGTAACATTAAAATTCCGATCGCCTGCAATAAAACCCTGTTCAAATTTTCTCCTGTCTCCACTTCTGAACGCCTTAGCTCCTCTTCAAAATACCTTTATCAAAATGACGAGCGGGCACTGCCTGAGAATATTCACAGACGAAAATGAATGTTAATCCCTATTTAAAGCAACGTCTCTTACTATTCAACATCACTTTCTCTCCTTCGCTCAGCTTCAGAGGGTTAAATTATAGGGATGTTATGAACGTAAAAGCCTACTGTAAGTCGGGAGTACAATGCTATAAACCTGACGACTTAAGGCAACTATCTACGAAGCTGTGGTGATAAATCGAGTCTACAAAGGCCTGTACTTTTAGGCGTGCTTTGTTAGTCATAACGTCGGACAGAGTAAAAATTGCAGCAGTCAGTAAGCAACAAGAACATTTCAAACAAACGCTGAGCCTTAAGAATAGTAATCCGAAATGTGAAGCCTCAACTTACATTTTTCTTAATCTTATACTTAAGGAACGAACCAGAAACAGGCAGGTAACATGAACGAATGTAACACATCTGAGGCTAAGTGCACACATCAGTAGCGGCTATTTCAAGAGATAACAAACTTCTTTACATATTAACGAAAAATATGTTGTATAATCTGACTCGTTACGGACTTAACCTCGAACTATATCTATAAACATTAATCTGCGTATGACACCGGAGTCACGTGATTCACACGTTTTATTCACGTGAACAATCCTTGCAAAAGCATTTCCCGTTACGTATCTTTCGACATCAATCGTCATTAATAACCGAAACTAAATTCAAAAAATTATCGCAATTCGAAAACATGGACAACAGAAATCTTCTCTAAGACACTCAGAATATAAACCCACGCAAACTGTTTCTTACCTACCTTAACGGAGGGGAGTCCCAGTGTAGGTGCTGGATGCTGCGGCTGCGAGGTGGTGCAAGTCGCCCCGTAGTTCAACAACATCTGATAGCTGCTGTTCAGGATCTTCTTGTGGGCAGAAGCCTGAGCCCTGTAGGCGGACACACTTAGCTTCATCCTGATCTTCCGTCTGCAATAACAAAACACTATTACGATATGTCCAAGTTGTTCTGGGCCTCGAAGCCTTGTTAGGTCGTAGGCAGATACAAACGTTACGGAGAAACAGACTGTGTCCGAAATATTGCATCCACCTACAAGCCGCCCTCACCGCCGTGAAGCCTCAAATATCTCTCATCAGGATATCTCAGTATAGCGTATCAATTCTGATGCTTTCGCCTTGTTATTTCTACAGATGTTGAATTCGTAAATGCCAACTTTTGACTCCCTCTTACAAATATCGCAGAACATAATGGAAAGAATACCAAGAACATAAAATATAAAATGTAAACAAAATCATAACTAAATAACATGACATTCAGCTTCGGGTTGTGTGACTTTTGGAACCTCGAAAATCAATTTATTAAAAGTATTCGTGTATGCTATTACGAAGATACTACAGAGCCCACTATGATCTTAGGCTTTCTATTTGCCAGTTATTCACGCCTCTTTGGATATTTAGTAGGACTCGCGGGACGGGGGTCAGACAGCCACAAGACTTCTGCCTACAAAGGAACGTAACACAGAAACAGCAGACACACATCCAAGGCTGAAGTGGTATTTGAACTCTAGACCATAGTGTTCGAACAACTAAGACCTACATCTCAGACAGCGCAGACACTGCGATATGCATCTGTATAGCGTATTTCATATTTTTCTACATGTTCATTTTATTTGCAGTTTAAATTTTTGATACGTATAAATTACGCGTATGTATTAAAACAAATAACCAGCGGACCTGTGCCTCACTACGTTGATTTGGAATGTTCACGCAAGCCTCACTGTAGTGCCTCAGTGCTACGAATTCATCACATACGTCCCTTATTCCATCTCGCTTTTCCATGTCCATAAAACTGTTAGTTCTGTTGTTAGAAACTTTCATAATTTCAAACAACGCACTGTTTTCCACAGCCAGTATTTCGCCCTCCCTCTGAACTCCGCATCAAATTTGTTCCTTTGCCAGATGCTCATTTGAATATGAGAAATATCCGCTCCATCCCTTCAAACTGGCCATATTGACTCGAAATCCAAGTATTACATTAAGATGACATTTTTCAGAACAGCGACGCCTCGAGTCAAACAAATATAAGCCCAACACAAGTTTACATATTGCCTACAAAGAGTTTCTTAAGCTAATGCGCACAATAAATTTACTCCAAGGCCAAGAAATTTACATTAATCAATTAACTTGCTACCTTAATTTGCTTAGATTGCCTTAGAGCCTTTTCTAGGAAGTGCAAGATTGAGATCTTACCCTTCCTAGAAAACTTTTTTGCGGGTTGCTTGTTTGGACATTTGGTAATAATCCTTTGACGATAGGTTGACCCATCGCAAGACCAAAACCTCAAACCGTCCGGCCACTAATAAAACGCAAATTAACAAACAACGTTTTGACACAGCTTGAAGACTGAAATGCCAGGCAGCAGACAATGTTTGTAGAGCTCAATGCGCTTAAATTAAACACATCGCATGTAAAAGATCGATTTTTATTATGACACAATTCCTCAGATTCCTAAGCGGCTGTTTCCAGAAAAGTCTCCCACCAAGCATGACTCAAATCACTGATTTTTACCTGTCCACACAGTAGACTTGACTTGGAACTAAATACTACGGCATCCTCCCCAATTCCTTCCAATTCAACGTACATAACCTTCGCCACATCCCGTTCGACACTAAAAAGTTATAATTACAGCGTTCTCGAATAACGTAAATCCAAACAACGCCCTACACTTACGACAAAATATGATTCTATTTTCTTAAGACTACGCACGCAACTCTGCAGTTCAGTTCTACGCCTGGAACCTTTCTTGCAGCAGGCAAAGAACAATGGCGACAACCGGTCTGTAAGACATGCGTTGGCGATCGAAAATTACAATTTTTTTTCTTTAAATTCATTTGCTGAAAACACGGGACAGCGAATTTCTATTACCTTACAAAACGCCGCTGTAAAAAAGAAAATAAAAGTTACGTAAGGCCATTGAATTTCTCCTTGCCCTGATCATGGTTGCCTGGGCAACGGTGAAGAAAACTAGTAGGCAGGAAAAAGGAGTAAGAAGACTGTAGTAATCAGGAAGGAAAGGTTTTAAAGTACATTCTTTACAGACCCTTGTCTGTCAGTCTGTACATATAGATATTTTCCCCCAAATACTTCATAAGCACGGCTAAGAACTTGTGGAAACTGTGTGTCGGGATATAACAGGAACTATCTGCTGCTTTAGTACCGACATCAACTTCACATAAAACATTCAGTTTTTATAAACCAGATTCATATCATAATAAGTTTTACATCTTGTGTGATTGAAATGACACTATCAAAACGTATGTTACATTTCTTTCGTAGTTTTCGTTATGAGCGGCGAATTAAAAATGGTGCTGAAGACGGAGGTAGTGGTATATTTTAGCTTACTGTTAAAATGACTAAAGTAGACCAAGAAACACCTTAATCAGAAGAACAGTTGTCCGTAGCAACAATACAGTACAAAAATATTTCTGAATTTATTTATAATCCGCATTTACTATTAGGGACCGACGTTCTGACGTACACACAATTTCTCTTAGGAACATTTCTTCAAATTACATTTTAAAACATCTTATTTTTGCGTTCTATAACATAATGGAAGTTCCTAATTCAAGACATGCTCATATATTTAATTTAATCTGCATTTATATCTGAAGAATATGTTCTTCGTTATGGTATTATGTTAATTTAAATTAGCATTTAAGCTTAGTGGTAACACCTGGTTTAACGTTCAATAACTCTGCATTTATTATACGATTCACGTGATTCTTAGAACAAACAACGATTATTTCCTGAAACAGAACTAACCAAATAATCTCTACATTGGAGACGCACAGGTAGAAAATTAATATTCAAATATTATTTATATTGGCTTCGGCCTTAAAGGGTTGATTAATGTAGTCTTTGTACCTGAAATTGGGGTAATTCAAAACTCATTTTACATTTAGATTTAAAATAATAATTTCTACTTCGTTGCTTTATTGTTTATACAGCACAATCCACATACCTTTTCAAGCGGTATTTTTATTATAAAATACAATTACTTAGGTTCCACATGTCAATTCGATTTTCAGGTCTCTGAATACACTAAAGCAAATATTCATGCGTGCACCGGTCTCAGTTTCTTGCTGTAAGACGGAACAAGGTCCTTGAAACAATAAGTACGGCTTGTTGCCTCCTGACAAGTTCCGATTGGCTTTCGCTTGAAGGGCTCATTCAGATGCCAGAAGGAAAGTGAAGCACACAGTAATAGACACGGCTCAGAGCTTGCCAAATGTAGCGACTGTGTGTGGAGGCAAACAAGCACACAATGTCTGCGCGCAGACAATGTCTCAGGGCTCAGGAACAAGAAACACCTCATCACTACGAAGCATGAAGTTCGTCTAAATAACATTTGACAAACTTAAGAGTAGATTTGTTGCAACTTTCAGTTAGGAAACGTGCGAACAACGTAATAATTGTGGCGCGTTCAATAAAATTTTAAATATTATTTTATTCTGTTTATGGTTTATTAAAGGGCGAGTCAGAACTTCAGCGCAAATAATGAATTGGACTAATTTAAGTTTCTGTCCCAACATTTACCTAGAAACTAACGAGGATTACGAAAAAATGTAATTTTCACAGCGTGTTCCCGGGCCGAGGTTCGAACTCGGGACTTTCCAAGTGATATGTTTATACAATAACATTTAATTTGCTTTTCAGAAGAATAACCTAGACAGGCCTTAAGAAATCGGCAAATTTGAGTATATCAAGGTTTAAAATCTCCGAAACTTTTGAGTATCGACACTGCTGATCCATCGAGAAGACTTCGTTGTATTTAGTAACGGTGTGAACTCTGACTGTGAACGTCGTTAAACACGTCAGAAAACAACAATGAGAAGAGTCTCAGTATGGCAGTAAAACGTAATGTTAGCGACGTTAGTTTTCTGAATTGAAACGCTGTGTGGATTCGTACAAACGTTTCGGTGGAGTATATTGCCTCCATCTTCAGGCAGAGTTATAGCACTACAACCCAGAATCCCAGCAACGACAACTTCTATCTGTTTCGCAGTATTATTATCAGGCTTTGGAAAGACATGCAACAGCATCCGCTGACTGTGATCTTTATTTGTGTGTAAGTGGAGACAAATCACGACAGAGGACGGATAATGTTTGTTTTCGTTTACCTTACGCCTGGAAATGAAAACTTCGTGTTCGGAACGGTTCCATATCCCCAGGTTCTCTACTGTAGTTCTCCTTTAATACCACGAAAGGCATTATTTACATTTAAGCATCCAAGTCACAATATTTCTTCGTGGAATATAACCACACAGAACATGTTTAAATGTCACTCTCAGCATATTTCACTTCATTTTAAATGTTTACGTTCTATACTTATTACCATCAACATTTTACGTGATTACATGAGTAATATTTTATACAGCAGACTGAACGCTTTGTAACAGGACTTATTTATTTAGTGTTCTGTCTTGCGACAGGTCCATATGAACAGGATCCTTCCTTCCTTTTCTCGGACTGGGACCTGTTCATATACGTTCTTGGCAGATGATCCAGAAGTGGTTTGCCATTGCCTTCTTCTGTGTGTGAATGGAGTAATTGTTGGGGTGCCACGGAGAAACCGGGGAAGCCCCCGGGGGAAAACTCCGTGTTGCCTAGACCACGGCCTTGCCCAAACAAGGACTGCAGGTTGGTAATTAACCGATCTCGCCCTACGCAAAACTGTATAACAGTTTACTGTAACAAGTCAATACATATAAATTTTACATGTCATTGCCAACAATAAGCATTTTAGCACTCAGGAAAAACAGTTAAAGCATAATTGGCGGTAATGTTCGTCGGTCTGTCCGTCCACTCGAATATTTAATCTCCGAAACATATCAATAATGAAACACACACAATAAAAATACGATATACTCTAGCGTCTGCCTTAAAATATCGATTGTTATTGAGATGGT